TATAATTGTAAAAAGAAATGCCTAATAGACTACAGTTTCTGATAGATACACCATTTTTGGTGTGTATCCATGTTGTCATTCTCTCCTCTCTGCTTATTTCAACCTTTTCTTTGTCCTGATTTATTTATTAAAGTAAGAAAATGAAGTGTGTGAATGGATTCTTCTTTATTTGTATGTATGACGGAGTCTTGCTTTGTCACCCAGGCTAGAGTGCAGTGGTGCGATCTCAGCTCATTGCAACCTCCTCCCAGGTTCAAGCAATTCTCTTGCCTCAGCCTCCCGAGTAGCTGGGACTACAGGCACCCACCACCACACCCAGTTAAATTTTCTTTGTATTTTTGGTAGAGTCAGGGTTTCACCGTATTGGCCAGGCTGGTCTTGAGCTCCTGACCTTGTGATCTGGCCACCTCGGCCTCCCAAAGTGCTGGGATAACAGGCGTGAGCCAATATTGATATTTTGAGTTTAGAAGTAAGTATCCTATAATTGTATTTATACTTAATTTATGACTAAAAGAAGACCTTTTGGGGTGTATTTTATTGATTTCTCTATAATACTTTTCATTCCCAGATTGTCTTTATAATCTGCTTAAAAAAAAGAATGAGATCACAGGGAGAAATACTATTTGTATTAAATAATTACAACTGAAGGCATTTAACTCTTTTTGAGCTGGAATGGACTACAGTAGGATAAGCATGGCTTTGGGTAGCATGACCTTAAAGCCTTTTTTGTGCGTGACATTTGATATGGATGAAAGATTTTTCTCAGGCCCGATGTGGAAAATGGGTGGTTTGGTCTGTCTCTCTCCCCTGCGCCACCCCCCCCACCCCACCCCCCACAAACACTGAAAGAGGTGCTTTTAGTGTTTACTCTCAAATTGCTGCATTAGATTGTTCGATTGCTACCTTGTTTTGAAGTGTCCACTTCATTTATTCCTTGTGGTGACAGTTCAGTGGGTCCTTTTCAGCTGGAAGCTCAGATCCCCTCAGTTTTGTGTAAAATGTATAACATTGATGATTTTTCTCCCTCTGCTTTCTATTTCTTTATATTGGTGATTGGACATCTGTCATTTCAGTTTCTGAATTTCTTATAAGTCCTCTAATATTTATACAGTATGTACCATTTTTTTTCTCTATCTTCTACTTCGTGGTTCCTCAGTTTTTCTTCCAATCTTCTATCAAGCTTTTTATCTTTGCTCTCATAGTTTTAGTTTCAGGAGTTTCTATTTGTATTCAGAATTTTTAAATACAGCATTATTTTCTTGTTTCAGCATTGCAGTGTCTTAACTCTCTGAAGGGTCAGTCGTTCAAGTCTCCTGCCCCCAAGATGTGGGCCTGGGTTCCCTCTCCTTGCATGTGGAATAGGGAAGATGGCTGGACAGCCCAGCCATCAGTTTGGAAGTTATCCTGTCAACTGTTCTGATGCAGTTTCAGAAAGTGTTTTACTTCCTTTTGGAATCAATTTCTGGTCTATTGCTGGGAATTAGGGAGTGCTTAATAGCTAGTCATTTGTGGATAGGAGATATGGGGATTGAAATGCTTTTCAGTGAGAGTTCATCTAGTCCAGCAATCTCAACCCCACCCTCACCTCCATTTCCACTGCTGCCCATTTCCTCAGTATTTTTTGTGGGGGACAGGGATTGCAAGGAACTCAGTTTCTGTCTTAACTAGAGTCTACTAAATTTTAAGTTAGCCATCTGCTTTCTAGATTCTTAATTTTTAAATGGTTTCCTTTCCCATTTTCTTATTTCTTAAGAGTTTGTACATTTTATTAATTTATAGTAGACACAGGGTCTTGCTATGTTTCCCAGACTGGCCTTGAACTCCTGGGCTCAAGCAGTCCTCCCGCCTCGGCCTCCCAAAATGCTGAGATTACAAGGCATGAGCCACTGTGCTTGGCCAAGTTTGTACATTTTAAACTCTACAGTGTTGTAGAAGAATTTTTGGCAGGAGTCTAAGTACATGGTTTCGTTAATTCTCCACCTTTGAAAGTTTTTGCTCTTTAAATCATTTTTAAAAGTGTGAGCCAAAATACTGATTTTGAAGCAAACAGGGTAGGTGTAACTTTCTCTCATTTTTATATTTTAAAGTATCATGTAAGTTGTTGAACTAAGAAAACTGTGCATTGGCCAAGGTGTTTTACACCTTAAAAATTTATTCCTTCATTAAAGTAAAATGACGAATTATACTGCAGCTTTGTTTCTATCATGCACCTAATTATTTCCTTTTTAAATTCTCTGGTTTTTCTCCATGTATAAGGCTTCTGTGGCAAGTCACAATTTTAGTTTTTATTCCTAAGCTTTTCTCAAATATATTATAAATGTTCCACAGTTTTCATTATATTAGTTTCTATATGCATTAGTGTTTAACACACACACACACACACACACACACACACACACACACACACAGCTTTAAATGTCTGTCTATAATATCTCTGTCACTTCTAGATAGATTTGGGTTGATTTTTTTGATTGATTTTTGAGGGGGTGGTCTCGTGTTGCATTTTTCTTTTTTACATGCACATTAATTTCTAATTGTATGCCAGACTTTTACCTTGTTGGATGGATATTTTTATATTCCTGTAAATATATTTGACACAGTTCAGTTAGTTGAAAATAATTTGAGGCATTTGGTCTTTCTTTTAAAATGTATTTAGTTTGTACTGGAACAGTGCTCAGACTAGGTTTAGTTATTTCCTACCACTGAGGCAAGACCTTTCTGTGTACCTTACCCACTGGGAAACATTCAAGGCTTTCAATCTGGTTCTTTTCCAGAGCCAGGCACTTTGACCTGGAATCGTTTTGGGCGGTTTCTTCCCTGGCCTCTGGAATTTCCTCTCAAGTATGCAGTGATCAGTGTTCAGCTGAATAGTTGAGTGGCAGCTCTTGCAGGACTCTTTTGAGCTCTGGCTGCCTCAGTTTCCCTGGATTCTTGCTTAGTGTCTTCATGTCAGGGAGTTGCCTGGAGACCCTCAAGCCAGTGAGTGGGGACAGTCATAGGCTCACCTCGGGTTTTCCCATCTCTTTGTGTCGTTTGTCCTTAGTTGTCTGATATCCACTGGCTTGAAACTTGTTTTTATGTTCTGCCTGTTTTTTGGTTGTTTCAGCAGGAGGGTAAATCTGGTTCCTGTTACTATATCTTGCCTGGAAGCAGAAATCCCTCATACCTGTGTGTTGAGGCAAATAAGTGCATTTTCAGGCCCACCAAATAAAACCAGACCAGCAGCTTTTTTGTAGGTCTCCAAAAAATAAATAAATAAATAAAAATACTAATTTTGGTGGGAAAATATTTTTAGCATTCTTTAACATAGCAATTGAAATCTGGATAACAATTTTTCTTGGCACAGTAGAGATATTTATACACATTTTTTTCCTTGCCATACAGATAACCCTGAGGTTCCCATTTTCTTGATTCATTGACTCCTTAGTTTCCCATTTAGTTTGCAGGGTGTACCCTAGTCAAAAAGAAATATTTCATAGTTCTGTTTATTAAATATGTACAAACAACTTAATTCCTATTAAAAACCGTGAATTGAAATAGACTATGCTTTTATTTTATTTGTAAATAACTATGTTATTTATTAATGGCATTTGTGTTTCCTGGGGTGCTGTTCAAATTCTCCAAAGTTTTCAATCAGATTGTATACTGCCACCCGCTTTTATTGTTCCACATTGATTTTTGTATGGACTTGATTTTTATTACAGCAATCACTAAAAACGTTGCTTTGTAAAGATATGACATCAAAAAGAATGTAATGTGATCTTATGTTGAAACAGTCAGATATTCTGAGCTAGTGGTTCACATAGTGTTGGACAGGTGGTACCCCTGTAAGATACTGTGCTGACTCAGAGCTCACTCTTTGAAAGACATGGATGGCCCAGGATAGGATTGTGTCTGATTTTTTTTCTGTATCCCTTTACAATGTGTGGATGCATTTTCATCCTAAAATATATTAACTAAAAATAAAGCAGAAGCCTTTACTCTTAAAATTTATTTTTACTTTTATTGGTTAAGTTCAAACATGTTAATTGTTGCAGAAAGCTGTTTTATTATGCCTGCTTTATTTTCTTTTATAGGAATCTAACAATTAGGTAAATAGTGACTTTTAAAATAAAGGTCCAACAACAGCAGATAATTATTGTCTGTGATACCTTGCTGTGAGACAGGTGCATTTATATATACTATTTAATACTTCTTATATTCTTATTTTATTTAAAAACACATAATTTTACTGTTCTCTAAAACATAAAACAAGAACAATTTTGAAGTTATGGCCAACTCTACTTCTTAACCTCCCTGTAACTTGACAAGGTTTTCAACATGGGGATATTCTTTACTAGAAGACATAAAGGAAACGATATATAGATAGTCTGTATGAAATAGTATTTGTGGCTTGATATAATTGAAGAGTAGCCTTACAGTTAAAATATGGTCTGATGAGAATATAGTTAAAACTATTTTCATAATTACTCAACACATGAAATACTTAAAACAAATGGCAGTCATCTTACACAACAACATCTATATGCAAAATACCTTTTCTGTTGAATACAACCAATGTTATTATAAAAGCAGTTGTAATGAAGTCGAAAGATTACTGAATTAAAGAATGAAATCCTTCTGTTTACTCGTGAGTAAAATGTAGAAATAATGACATGTTTCTCCAAGTGTTTTTCTTGGTGATGTAAGGACAGTATCATATATATGTTTCTTACTGCATAGGAGCACTCTAGGGACTGATCTTTAGCATCTGGTTCCGTGCTTGGTAGACAGTAGGTGCTTAGCAAATACTCGTTGAATTAACTGTTATTTAACCCAGTAGTCTCAAACATTCAATCAAGCGTTGAAGACCCAGAAAAATAATTCAAAGATTTGTAATGCCATCATAGCAAAATAATGCAAAAATAGCTGAAATTATTGACAACAGGTTAGTATTACGAAAGATGTACTCTCTCTTTAAAGAGAAAAATGTGTAATCGTGTACTCTGTAAATTTTTTAGGAGGAGCAAAATAGAGGCAAGCCCAACTGGGAGCATCTAAATGAAGATTTACATGTACTAATCACTGTGGAAGATGCTCAGAACAGAGCAGAAATCAAATTGAAGAGAGCAGTTGAAGAAGTGAAGAAATTATTGGTACCTGCAGTAAGTAATAATTTCTAGACCTTAGTTTTGGGCCCTGTCTTTTTTTGTCAGTTTATTTTAAATTATTGCAATGTGTATAAAGAATAGGTTATCACTTGTTAGAATTTCATTTAAGCATAAAATTTTAAAAAATTTATAACTTTTAAATGTAGTTTAATAGACATAGACATTGCTCAACTACTTGGAAAATTTGTTTATTTTTTGGAAGGATGTGTTAGGGAGGGAGGAGCAAATTCAATGATCTGCGAATTTGCTTTTCAGTAATAGAAGCTAGTCTGTTTTCTCATTTACTACCATAAAATATACCAAAAAGACTATTATAAAAAAGTTAAAATGCATCAAGCATTACACATGAAAATGCTTACATAACATACATGGTGCCTTTCACACAGTCAAGAGAAGTGTAAACAGATGTCAGGATTCAGCAGTAAATCTTAACTATAATACATAGTGCACTGCAGTAATTTCATAGCCGCCTCCTGTTACTATTATGGTGAACTCAAGTGTTGAGAATATTCACTTAAAATGCTTTGTGACTCTCATCATCCCAAGTGAACATTTTGTGTCTTTGGTAAATTGCATTATTTCAGTAAAAGGTGATCTCTCACAGTTCTCAAGTATTTTTTATTATGTTTAGTACAACATTGTAAACCTTGAGTAGTACCAGGGAACCCATGGGAATTCCACTAGTGATGCTGGAAGTGCTTCCAAAAAGCAAAGATAAGTCATGACATTACAAGAAAAAGTCGAATTGTTTCACATGTAGATTGAGGTTCTCTGGTTGTGGTTGCCACCATTTCCAGATAAATGAATTCATTGGCGGGGCGGGGGGGTGGGGGCAGGAGAAGTAGAGGAAGTTGGTGAAGACATCTCTATAGCTGTGCCACCAGTTACGAAAACCTTGCACTTTCTGTGAAATACCTTTTTATCACCTGTTGCAGTTGCAGCTTTTATGTGGGTGCAGGATTGATATGAGAAAGGCATAGCTATTGATTCTAATATGATTTGAGTAAAAGCAAAGTCATTAGATGACAACTTAAAGCAAGAGGAAAGTGAAGGATCTAAAGCTGAAGAAGTTAATGCCAACAACGGATGATTTGATAGTTTAAGAAAAAGATTTGGCTTAAAAAGTCAAGATAAGAGAAACAGCTTCTGCTAACCAAGAGGCAGATGAGTTCTCAGATGCCATTAAGCAAATTATTGAGGAGAAAGTTTATCTGTGTGAATAGGTCTTTAATGCGGATAAAGCCACCCTATTCTGGGGAGGAAATGCCATAAAGGACATTTTTAAGTGAGGAAAAGAAGTGAGCAGCATTTAAGGCAGCAGTAGGCTAACTCTACTGTTTTGTGTAAACGTAAGTCAGGTTTATAATTAGGACTGCCCGTATCTATAAAACTGCTAACCCTGAGTCTTGAAAAGATAAACACCAGCTTTCAGTCTTTCAGTTGTACAGCAAGATGGCCTGGACAATTAGAACCCTTTTCCTAGTTTAATTCAATCAGTGCTTTGTCCCTGAAGTCAGGAAGTGCTATATCAGTAAGAGGCTGCCTTTTAAAGTTTGTTTGGGTTTTTTTGGGGAATTTTTGTTTGTTTGTTTTGTTTTTGACAATTCCCCTGGCCACTCAGAACCTCATGAATTCAACACTGAAGGTGTCAAAGTGGTGTACTTCCACTAAACATAACTCTAATTCAGCTTCCAGTTCAGGGGGTCATAGGGACTTTTGAGGCTCATTACACATCGTACTCTATGGAAAGGATTTCTAGGGAAGAGAACCCAAATAGAACATCACGAAAGTCTGGAAGGATGATACCATTGAAGAGCCATTATTACAGAAAAAGCCATGAAAGACATCAAGCTCAAAACAATAAATTCCTAAAAAAAAAATGTGTCCAGTGTTGCACATGACTTCACTGGATTTGGTGCAGAGCCAATCAAGGAAGTCCTGAAAGAGATGCAGATATGGCAAAAAAAAAAAAAAAAAAAAAGGTGGTGGGTGAAGTGTTTTAAGATGTGGATCTTGGAGAAGCCTCAAGAGTTCATAGATGCCACACCAGAGGAATTAACAGAAGAGGATTTGGTGGAGATAAATCCTCCCGAAGCAATGCCAGACAATGAGGAGAACATAGAGGAAACAGCACCAGAAAAACAGATGGACATTAGGCAGTCTGGCAGAATGGTTTCGGTTATACAAGACTGCTTTGGATTCTTTGACGGCATGGATGATATGGGCGTTGAAACTAAAGCACACAGTGGAAAAAGGATTGGTATTGTATAGAAATGTTTGTAGATATATAAAAAAGATAAAAGAAGTTACGTATTTCTGTAAACTTAGGTCATTTTCTTTTTAAATTTATTTAAATTTAATTTAAATTTAAATTTAAATTTAATTTAAATTTTTTTATTTTGTAGACAGAGGATCTCCCTCTGTTGCCCAGGCTGGTCTCAAACTCCTGAGCTCAAGTGATCCTCCTGCCTTTGCCTCCCAAAGTGCTTGAATTACAGGTGTGAGCAACTGCACCCTGCTTTGATAACATTTTCTTTTTTGTAGCATACTTTATTGCAAGAATACAGTATATAATACACAAAATGTGTGTTGATCAACTGTAAGACCTCCATACAACAGTAGGCTATTAGTAGTTACATTTTGGAAGAGTTGAAAGTTACACAAGGAGTTTTGACTGCACACAGTCTGTGTTCCTAACAACCTAAGCCTCCCTTGTTGTTTGAGGATCAACTGGATATTGTTGTTAGTATCTTTTAAATTTTCTATTTAGTCACCTGCAATCTCTTGTCTTGCTTACCATTTTTATTTCTAGTATTTAGCGTGGTGCCCAGCACATAGCAATAACATAATAAATTGAAAAGTAAATAATTGAATCTTGTCATAAGGTAAAATAAGTTCCTTCATCTTCACCATAGAAATGCATAAAATGAATTTTCCTGAAGCACCAGGTGATTTGGGTTTTTACTTAAATAGATGTGGGAGATGGAATCCATCATACTTTTGAGAACCCACATCCTGGTTTTTGAATCCCAGCATTGTGACTTTAACTGTCTTCAGTTTCTCATCTATAAGATTGGAACATGGCCAGGCATGATGGTTCACGCCTTTAATCCCAACACTTTGGTTGGCTGTGATGGGAGATTCGCTTGAGGTCAGGAGCTCAAGACCAGCCTGGGCAACATAAGACCCCTTTATACAAAAAAAATTGAAAAATTAGCTGGGCTTGGTGGCACATGCCTATAGTCCCAGCTACTTGGGAGGCTAACATGGAAGGATTGCTTGAGCCCAAGAAGTTGAGCTATGATAGCACCACTGCACTCCAGCCTGGGTGACGGAGCAAGACCCTGTCCCTTGGGGTGGGGGGCATATTGGAGCATTATTAAACCCCTATAGTTATTGTGAAGATTAAAAGAGATGATACATGGAGAATACTTAGAATAATATCTAGCATATACTTGCTCTATAAAAATGTTTGTTGTTTCTGTATGATGATGTCTAAGTAATACTGTTTTGCAACTGTATTCTTTACAAATGCTGATAAAATGAATGCATTAATTCAAGTTGGAGAAAATGTACAGAAATAGTAGTTCCTTGCCAACTCATTTTTACTGTTTTTACAGAAGTTGCTTTGACTTCTATAAAAATCCAATATAAGGCTCATTAGTTAATCATTGCCTAAATATTTTCAAAGGCAAGTATTTTCTCTATCTCAAAATTTACCTTTAATAGTGATGTTCATAATTTTGTGTTGTTGACAGTTTGAGTAGCAGATGTTCACTTACCTTGTGGATTAACAGAAATTATAGGTCTTTCGGTTTGGAATTCTCAGCTACACTTTTCTTGTTCCTTCAGTATTCTGTTAGACTTTCTAACTTGTTAACTGTGGCCGCAAAAAAAAACAACCAAATTCATCCCATTGCCTTTACCTACTTGAAGCCACGCCTATATCAGAACCCCACAACTGGTATTCCTTCTTCTGGGGCCTCTCAAACCCATCCTTGGTTTGCAGTCTATTTTTACCTTTCCCTGCTTAAAGAGCTTTTAGTGGTTCCCTCTTACTCTGAAAAAAAGAATACAAAGCTCAGCATGGCCTACAAGTTTCTTCATAATTTGCTGTAGCTTACCTTTGAGGTTTCATCTTTTACTTTTTGCCGTCCCTAAAGCACACGCTGATAGGTATACATCTTCCTCACCCTAACAGAGATTGAGTTGTTGTGTATATATTTGAATTTCTTAAACCTTCAGTCTTCTCGAGAACGTCTGGGCCTTTGTAGTTCATTCAGCAGATGTTAACTGCACACCTGCTGTAGGCTAGACACTGTGACAACTGTGGAGGATACAGCAGTGATAAAGCTGGCTAACAAAGTGCCTGCCATCACCTTCTGATTGGGGTTGGATTACGGACAATGAGGAAAACAAATATAAGCAATATTCTGTTGTTGTAACAAAGTGCTATGAAGAAAAAGCAAAATAAGGGGATAAAGAACTGGGATTAGGAAACTACCCTTTTTTTTGGGGGGGGGTGGAGACAGAGTCCCTCTGTCGCCCAGGCAATGCCACAATCTTGGCTCACTGCAACCTCCGCCTCCCGGGTTCAAGTGATTCTCCTACTTCAGCCTCCCGAGTAGCTGGGATTACAGGCTTGTGCCACCAGGCCTGGCTAATTTTTGTATTTTTAGTAGGGACGAGGTTTCACCATGTTGGTCAGGCTGGTCTCGAATTCCTCACCTCGTGATCCTCCCTCCTCGGCCTCCCAAAGTGCTGGGGATTACAGGCGTGAGCCAGCGCACCCTGCGGGAACTAGTTTTATATAGGCTGGTTAGAGAGGGCGACCTCTAAGAAAAAAACCTAAAAGAAGAGAAAAGTGGGTTGGCCCTGAGGCATGCTTAGAGAAAATCCAGGGGCCCATTGAGGAGCTTAATGAGTAGAGCGGAGGGATGTGAAGTCAGTGGGGAGGGGAAGCAGTGGCACATCCAAGGCTTGTAGGCATGGTA